CCTTCTATTAGGTTTAATAGCTAAAGAAATGTTTTAATTCACAGATATCCATTGATGGGTAGAGTAGACTCCAGTCCCATAGTGGCATGGCGTGGCCTTAGGGATCCAGGCTCCTGCCTTTACTTCCTATTGTCCTAAGGCTGGCTCCACTTCTGGTTGCCAGAAAACCTTCAGTGGTAAACCAGGCTTCAGCTCCGTGCCTCAGAACACTAAAATTTTGATTCCTTGTGGTGTAGGCTGGGAAGCGTTTAGGCTCCCAGAGCCTTTTCTAGGTTGCAGTGTAGGCGAGAGATTGTAGGCTACTCTAACACTTTCTCGGTTGCAGCTGTTGTGTTTATTTGTTCCTGGTTTTTTTCCACCGTGACCACCTCGAGGGACGTGGAATGACTGGTATCTACTACAGAGTCGAGGGAAATCCTTAGGTAGTGGTTGGTTTTACCCAATGGTTCCGGTCTCCTTTCCTATGGACACAGAACTTCTGGTTGAGCAGAGTTGTCTGAGTGGCTCTCACCAGTGAGTTTGCTGTGGAGTGAGTGAGTGGTGGCAGGTCTCCTAGGTGAGGTATGAGGTGAGGTTATGTGCTCTCTAGGGTCCTGGGAAAGGAGTTAGCCATATGAATAAAGAGAGGGAGGAAATGGCCGCTGTGAGGAGGGTGAGGGGCTGTGTGTGTGTGAGCAGCAAGACGGATGGCTGAGTCTGTTGACATGTGTAATGGAGGGCCAGATGTGTACGTGTTGCCATTTGAGGTAGATGACTTTCCTGCTTGACCTGGTTCCTGAGAATGGGCCTGAACCTACTGACCTCTACTCACCTGCCTCCTTTCATCCCTTCCAGGTTTACAGTAAGCATTGGCTACTGGCAAGACCCTCACATCCAGCATTTGCAAGACTGTCTAAGGAGAGAAGGCTCCCGAAATTAACAAGAGGCAAGTGACCTCCCCCTTCTTTCCGAATATCCCCTCCTTAGCAAAGAGACCTGATGTTTTCGGGATTCTTTTTTTTTTTTTTCTGTTTTGTATAATTTTTCTTGAGGATTTTTTTTTTTTTTTGAGAGAGAGTAAGAGCACAGAGAAGAGGGGAGGAACTGAGGGAGAGTGAGAAACAGACTCCCCACTGAGCAGACAGCCCGATGCGGGCTCGATCCCATGATCTGGAGATCATGACCGAGCTGAAGGCAGACACTGAGCCGACGGAGCCACCCAGGTGCACCAACGGATTCCCTCTTAAAAAGAGAGTTCCAGTGTTCACTCTCTCCAGTGGTTTCTGGAAGTGCTTCTTACCCAACATGTTCACCAACAGCATATCATGAAACTTCTCATCTTTGTTCATCTGATATGTGAAAAATGGTATCTTACAATAATTTTATTTTATATTCCTCCTATTTTGGGGTGAAAGTGAAGATCGTTTTTATGTGTCTAAAAGTCACTTATATTATCTTTTACTTTGACTTGTCCAAGTAAGGAATTACTTTTTTTGCCTTGGTACCGGTGATGGTAACACTATTAGTCTCTGCAAGTCATTTCTATCCAGGCAGGGAAAGGAGTTGAGATGACAGGGTGACTTAGTCCCAGGGAGATTGAGAAATTAACCAAATCACTGTAGCTTTTGTGTGTGCAGGGAACGTGGGCACACAGAGCTGGATCCTCTGGGTAGGTTCTGTAAGAAATGCAAAGCGATTTTGAAGTGGTGGTGCCTGGGAATAGGGACAGGGTAGTTACTTTGAGGCATCAGGAAGATGGGGCAAGGCCTGGCTAAGAGGCCTCCCTCAGGCCTCCATCCCATGCCCTTGAGGCAGCTTCCTTAAGAGATGCTGCGGAGCCAGGGCCCCTCTATGGGGCGCCAGGAGCTGGGTGCCCCAGGAAGCATGGCAGCCGTGTGTCCTTCCTTCCTCCTCTCCCTGGGCTGGCATCTCTAGACTGGAGCTTCTTAGGAGAGTCCTTCCCAAACAGTCTGTGGTGAGCATCTTTTGAGCATCTTTAAAATTGTTTTCCCAGCATCGAGTCTGCTGTGGATGAAATTCTTTTTTTTTTTCCTTTCTTTTTAAATTTTTTAAAAATAAATTTATTTTTTATTGGTGTTCAATTTACCAACATACAGAATACACCCAGTGCTCATCCCGTCAAGTGCCCCCCTCAGTGCCCGTAACCCATTCTCCCAACCCCCGGCCCTCCACCCCTTCCACCACCCCTAGTTCGTTTCCCTGACTTAAGAGTCTTTTTTTTTTAATAAATTAATTTTTATTGGTGTTCAATTTACCAACATACAGTATAACACCCAGTGTTCATCCCGTCAAGTGTCCACCTCAGTGCCCGTCACCCATTCACTCCCACCCCCCGCCCTCCTCCCCCTCCAACAACCCTAGTTCGTTTCCCAGAGTTAGGAGTCTTTATGTTCTGTGTCCCTTTCTGATATTTCCCACACATTTCTTCTCCCTTCCCTTCTATTCCCTTTCACTATTATGTATATTCCCCAAATGAATGAGAACATACACTGTTTGTCCTTCTCTGATTGACTTACTTCACTCAGCATAATACCCTCCAGTTCCATCCACGTTGAAGCAAATGGTGGGTATTTGTCGTTTCTAATGGCTGAGTAATATTCCATTGTATACATAAACCACATCTTCTTTATCCATGCATCTTTCGATGGACACCGAGGCTCCTTCCAATACAAATCAAAACCACAATGAGATACCACCTCACACCAGTGAGAATGGGGAAAATTAACAAGGCAGGAAACCAGAAATGTTGGAGAGGATGTGGAGAAAAGGGAACCCTCTTACACTGTTGGTGGGAAAGTGAAATGGTGCAGCCACCCTGGAAAACTGTGTGGAGTTTCCTCAAAGAGTTAAAAATAAACCTGCCCTATGACCCAGCAATTGCACTGTTGGGGATTTACCCCAAAGATTCAGATGCAATGAAACGCCGGGACACCTGCACCCCGATGTTTAGAGCAGCAATGTCCACAATAGCCAAACTGTGTGTGGATGATATTCTTTAACACACAGGGAAAATGATTTACTGGATGCATAAAATACAAACTCAAATCATTTATAGGAGAATCAGTAGACATAGAATTCCTATGTCCAATTGCTGTCAGTCTCTAAATGCCACTGAACTGTGGTTCTTAGGACAGTCATCGTTTCAGCGGCAGGGCTTTAGAATGCAGATTGTATTCCTTTCCCCTTCTTCGATTTCCCATCTCCTGTGCTGAACAAGTTAATTTGTTCAGCAACATTTGCGTGGTGCCTTTCCCTCCCCCGATCTCTGAGGACATTTTATAAACATAGAGGCTCTTACCCACTCGGGATGGAGATGAAGGGAACACGATAAGAATTACCCGCCCCCTCCACCCTCCCCCCCACCCCCCGTTACGTGTTTTTGCTTTGATACTTACCTGGCCAATTTCATGACCCCAAAATACTATTTTGTCATGATCTTGCCATTTCAACGTTTAGCAGAGGCTTAAGTGGCTTTCACCTAGCTACGAGAAAGCACATTTTCAAGGGGAACATTTCGATCTGATGTGTTGATGCAAAACACTTGTCTTTCCTAAGTGAAATTATGGGAGAGTTTATTTTTAAGATAGGTAATTCCACTATTAAACAGATTGTATTTGCTTTGGTTCAAACAGCTTTAAAAAGGGGTAGAATTTGAAAGCACTGTTTCTCTTGTGAGTTTCACAGATAAAGCGCTGACCCTGAAGAAGAACAGAAGTGTCCTGTTTTGCTGTTCTCCTGGGGTGGGCTTTGCAGGGATTATGTCTGACCTCCGTGAGCCATGGCTTGTGTCTGTCTCTCTTTCAGGTTATTTTGCTCGAGTTCATGGCGTCAGTCAGCTTATCAAGGCATTTTTCTACGGAAGACAGAATGTCACTGTCAGATTCCTAATCTTGGGGCTGGCGTGGATAGCACCTTCTGGAGATTAAAGGTAAATTAAAACTCCCCTTCTTATTTGCCGAATTGTTTTGTTTTGTGAAGGTGCCTGCGTGGCTCAAGAATGTTAAAAATATATTCAGAGGGAATCCAGTGACCGGCTGCCCGTCTCTCGCCCCATCGCCAGCTGCTTGCAGCTGCTGCCACCATCAGCCGCCTACGTGATGTCTCTAGGGCCATAGTGGAGGATGTGCGCCTTGCTTGTCATTCTTTGGTGTTAGAAACAGGGCTTATGATCACACTCCTCCTATACATTTCGTGTGCACGTGTGGAAGAACCCTGCCAGTGGAATTGCTGAGACTGACAGCCCATGCATCGGCCATCTTGACAGTAACTGAGATTTTGTTGTCATCAAGACAGTGTGTTCGGTACAGTTTGGAGATGAGCGAGGCTGGGTGAAGGCACTATGACAGAAAGCCCTTTTGTAGCTATTATTCCCTGATGTGATCCCCCACCTGCTGTGTTAGGGATCAAGAACAGGTATCATTACACTCACTCACAGGAAAGGGGACGGTCCCGTTAGTGGCGGAACCAGGACCGAGCACCGGTCTTTGATTCCCGGCTAGAATCGTAGCTGCCCACCTTTTCCCTCCAACACCTTCACCGATTGCACCTGCCTTTTTGTAGGTTCATATGGATTTTTCTCAGTTCTTCTATCAGGTCCGTCATGTGGCAGTGATGGGTACGTGCGTTTCCCCAGGTTTCTTGCAGATGTACACCAAGAAAAATCAGTGTGTGGGCCTAACAGTACCCGCATAGGCATTTTGTCCCTAATCAGTTCACCTGATAAGGAAGTCTTTGGTCGTGAGTGCGCCCGACCTTTCTGCTATTCAGGCGGGACCCCAGCAGCCTCAGCACAGCCGGAGTATTCATTGTTTGCCTCTGCACTATTCATTCAGGATAAGATAGCTAACGTTTATGAAGTGCTTGCACGTACGCGACCTCATGAATTAACGTGAGAGCTCTGGGGTGGAAGGGTTAGAGATCGGGAAAGGGGGTGCTGCAGGAGCCTGTGTCTTCCCCAGATTGGGCGGCCAGTGGCGTTGATGCCTGGAACAAACTGTGGACTATAGCTCCGCCACGTCCAGGCTCGGCTCCTGTTCTCTGCACGGAGCCCTGTGGTTGTTCGGTGGGGCGTCTTTGCCGTTCGTGGGGCAGTGGTGCCTTTGTACCTCAGAGACCATCCTGTGGGGGAAGGAACGGGGACAAAGCACAGTGGCAGAATGTGGACCGTGGTAACAGAAGCCACTGGAGAAACGCCTCCTTCGGGCCTGACACCCTTTTGACCTGATCTCGTGATTTGGTTTCTCCCCCTCTGTCATGTAGGTGGGTTAGTAATTAATAAATCTGAGAGTATTATTTCTAAGCAAGGTATGCCGAGACTAGGTACCCCTTCCAAGAAAAAGGTTCTCTGTCAGGAGTGAGGGAGGTGAATAACACAGGGAGGGTCTGGAAGATTTTGTGGAGGTTTTGTTTTGTTTGATAAGTATATTGGTCCAAAGAATTTTTAACAAGTCAAAGTTTGTGGGTTTTTTGTTTTTGAAATTGTATTTATTTATTCATGAGAGACACAGGGAGAGGGAGAGAGACAGGCAGAGGGAGAAGCAGGGTCCCTGCAGGAACCTGATGCAGGACTCGATCCCAGGAGCCCGGGATCATGCCCTGAGCCAAAGCCTGATGCTCAACCACTGAGCCACCCAGGTGCCCCAAATCTAGGTTTCTTGGGGGAAAAAAACATCCTGTTTGCTCTTTGGAGCCCAAGCTCAGTAGGCCATATTTTAGCTTACAACCTATTTTTGTAAGTAAAGCTTTATTGGAAGACGGCCGCTGGCTGCCATTGACCTGCATCTTCCCTATCGCTGCTTTACTACCATGACAGCCGGGTTGAGTAGGTCAGACGGAAGCCGTCTGGCCGGCAAAGGCTGAAATACTTTCTGGCCCTTTACAGCAAGTTTGCTGAGCCCTGTGTTGAGATACATGTACTTCTGTAACAGAGTGGGGAAAATCGCATCTGCCAGTCTTGTTGTCTCATGCACCTTCCACCTCGGATGGTCCCCTGGCGGCACCAGCAGGGGCTAGGCTGCGGGTCACAGGCTTTTTGCTGCCACAGTCGTGGGAGCTCGTCCTATAAGATCTCAGGGGCCCTAGACTGTTGGGGCAGTTGAAGTGTCCCACCTTAAGGCAGTGGACCCTATTAGGACCCAGGAAAGCTGGCACTGCCACAGGCAGAATAAAGGCGGACTGAACCCCTTTGAGGGACCTCGGCTTCTTGGTGTCTCCTGAGTTCTGTTTCCACACAACTGAAGGATCAAGTAGGCGGGGATGGGTCTCGAGTCGGGCAGCCCGTGCCGTGGCCAACCTTTCAGTCTCAGTGATGCCCTTTCTCACCGCTGCCCCTGGCCGCCCTCCAGTAGTGAGGCCCCGTCTTATATGTCTCGTATGACACATGAGTTCCTGGCAAGTGGAGTGTCAGAAGGCTTTAGGGAATCCGAGAATAAAATCCGAAGTGTCACATGCCACAGCCATTTTGCTTCTTTGCCAAGGCCGAGAAAGAAGGTATCTGTTCCTTAGAAGCTCCAGGTGTGCCTTCTGGAAGCTTTCCCTCCACGGTGACCCCTTACTCAGAATTCTAATGAGGGTCAAGTGGCTGATGCATTGGAAAGCCCTTTGTGTATCATTTCTTTCTTTTTTTTGTTTTAAGATTTTAAAAGTTATTTGAGAGAGAGTGAGCCAGGGGGAGGGGCAGAGGGGGAGATAGAATCCTGAAGCAGACTCCTCCCTGAGCATGGAGCCCATCTTGAGACTCGATGCCAGGACCCTGAGATCATGATCTGAACCAGAATCAAGAGTCAGCCTCTCAGTTGACTGAGCTACCCAGGTGGCCCAAGGGGGAAAGCTCTGTATGATAAAGTAAGAAGTCCTATAGGAGATGTAGGATCATATACTGTCCCTGATTTGCTTTTAATTGTTCTCATTGTCTTTGGAGATTTTAGACCGTCCTTAACCTTTCATATCGTGTGAGTACAGTTCTTGAAGGGTGCTGTCGAGTTTCCTTGCAAAAGTTATGTCCTCGTATGCCCTCAGCATTTCCTCCAGATCCCTTCAGATAGCTCGTCCGTCCTCGTGCTCTGCAGACAGGCGAGCATGTGTGGGGATTCTGAGCATGAATGGTTGAGGTGGGTGAGCTTATCTCCTCAGGATGTGTCAGGAAACGGTCTTTTTGTCTGTTATCCTGTCCCCCCCGTCTCCCTCCCCTCCTTTCCCCCACACTAGATCCCCTGAGATTTGCCACCTGGGTTGGGGCTAACTGAATCTCACAGTTCTGACACTTGCCTTCAGGGTCCCCTCCCACAAAGAAATGCTTGCTCATGCCTCCTGCCCCCTTCATGCTGTGGGGGGGGGGCGCCCCCACCCCCCACTGCCCTACCTATCCCTGCTTCCCATAACTTGATACTATCTATGTGTGGGGGGCTCTTCCCTGTGTAGTTGCTCAAGTCAGAAACGATTGTGTCCTCCTGACCCCTGCTTATCCTTTAGCCAGCCAGCACCTGCGAAGCCACCAGCGGATTCTGGACACCAGCAACTGTCTCTCTTTGTCTTTTTTTTTCCCCCTTTAAATCAGTGGTTCTGTGTTCCTGGAATATAAGTACAGGTGGACATGGGGGTGTTGAAAGGAAACATGGGGGGGGATGCCGAACAAGTCACCGGGTTGTAGGGAGCCTTGTTTCTTGCCAGGCCTAAGGGGTGTGAGGAGCTACTGCAGGCAGTACTCGGTGTGCCATTTGAAAAGGCCAGAAAGGCCAGTCTGTGCAGTTGGTGAGCTGAGGAGAGAATGCGTTCAAGAATAGTCATCAGTGCTGAGTGAGTGATTGGACACAACAGATGGAGAGTATGTGCTCGGATGGCCGGGGGGTGACCAGGCTGGGTATGCAGAAGGGGGAGCAGGGCTGTGTGTGTGTGTGTGTGTGTGTGTGTGTGTGTGTGTGTGTACGTGTGTGTATGTCTGCATATGAGTAATTGTGTCTCTCTCTGTGTCTATGTGTCTGTGTCTCTGTGTGTGTCTCTTGTGTCTGTGTGCGGGTCCTTGTGTGTCTGTATGTTTGTGTGTTTGTCTCAGTGTGTGTGTGTTTGTGTGTCTCTGAATATGTGTGTTTCTGTGTGTATGCATGTCTATGTGTCTGTGTGTGTGGCTTTCACACTTATGAAAGCCCGCCCATGGCTCTTACCAAGGCAGGCCATTGTGAGTGTCACTCGTGCTTTTATTTCCTCATTAATCCTCACAGCCCCGTGAGGTGCGGTCATTTTGTCTACTGTACACCTGAGAAAGCTTGGCCCAGGGAGTTTAGTGACTTCCAGGAGTTCACAGCAGACACGTGGTGGAGCTGGGATCCGAACCCCATTCTCCGGCTCCAGAGGGACTGCCCTTTACCCCCAACCCTGCTCTCCAAAGTCACCTGAAAAATACACTCCTGACCGTATTGTTCCTGATTTAAAACCTTGAAATCTACCCCGTTGCCGTTTGAGGCCTAGTACTCATACATGAAGATGATCCGTAAGTTGTATGAGTGAATACATACCTAGAGAACTTACTGTGTATTTTTCCTCAGGATGAGGATCTTCTCCCAAGTAAATATTTTGAAGTCAACTTTCCAATGATAGTCACGAGAAAGCTGCATGGCATCAGGCAAGCCATCACGTCCTCTGGCTTGGAGCAGAGGGCAGAGCCGGGTAGATTCAGAGGTGGCATTCAGTAGGGGCCAGTCTGAATTCCAGAGACCTCATCTTAGGGGACTCTTCCTTTTGACCCTCCTCCCCGCCCACTTTCTTGCTGGCCTTGGGATGCTCATTCTAGCCTGTCGAGCAGTCTTCACAATGAAATACACCCTGCCTTGTGACTGTTCTGTTCGTTAACGGCATTCCCTGAACACTTGAAAGATATGACCTACAGTAGTTTCATCACCTGGGTTTTTAATGTATATTTTGTCTACTTCTTTATCTCCAAGGCATAGAAGGATGCCCGACCCAGAGCACATGCATAGTAAACATTCTTTGAGTGAATGAGTGGAAGGCTGAAGGTAGTCGCTTACTCCAAATGAGATATTATAGGGTCCATCCTGAGTCCAGGTTTTAAGGAGTTTGCACAGTTGTAGATGATGAGATCTCTCCGAGGATCTTTTGTAGCACCATGTGAAATACTTCACTTGGATCATCTCATTTGGTCCTCAGAGCAGACTCAAGAATTCTGGTGGGGAAACCGAGGCTCAAAGCAGTTAAGCTAATTTCTCTCCAGGTACCTGTCGAGGAAGAGGTGGAGCTGACATTTGAACCCTGGCCTCAAGCCCAAGGCCAAGGTTTCTCACCTATACTCCTTTACCTCTTTTTAAGTTAGTGATTTTTAAAAAAGATTTTATTTATTTATTCATGACAGACAGAGAGAGAAGCAGAGACCTATGCAGGGGGAGAAGCAGACTCCCTGTGGGGAGCCCGATGTGGGATTTGATCCCAGGGCCCTAGGATCCTGACCTGAGCCCAAGGTAGATGCTCAACCGCTGAGCCACCCAGGCAGCCGTGAATTAGTGATTTAAAGAAAATCCCAAGTCTTACGCTAAAAAAAAATTATGTGTTTATTTTAAAAGGTTTTATTTATTTATTTGAGAGAGAGAGAGAGAAAAAATACAAGCAAGGGGAGGGGCATAGGCAGAGGGAGAAGAAGATACCCCACCCATCCACTGAGCAGGGAGCCTGATGTGGGGCTCAATCCCAGAACGAGCGAGTGACTTAGAGGACAAGTTGATGGCAAGGAAGGAAGCTGAGGAAAAAAGAGAAAAATAATGAAAAGACCATGAGGAAAGGTTAAAGGGAATAGATGACAGCCTCAGAGGGAAAAATCTACATTTAGTTGGGGTTCCAGAGGGCGCCGAGAGGGACAGAGGACCAGAAAGCATATTTGAACAAATCATAGCTGAGAACTTCTCTAATCTGGGGAGGGAAACAGGCAGGCATTCAGATCCGGGAGACAGAGAGGTCCCCACCTAAAATCAATAAGAACCGTTCACCTTGACATTTAATAGTGAAACTTTCAAATTCCAAAGATAAAGAGAAAATCCTGAAAGCAGCAAGAGACAAGAGATCCCTAACTTACATGGGGAGAAACATTAGATTAACAGCAGACCTCTCCCCAGAGACCTGGCAGGCCAGAAAGGGCTGGCAGGATGTATTCTGGGTCCTAAATGAGAAGAACATGCAGCCAAGAATATTTTGTCCAGCAAGGGTCTCGTTCAGAATAGGAGGAGAGATAAAGAGCTTCCAAGATAGGCAGAAACTGAAAGAATATGTGACCACCAGACCAGCTCCGCAAGAAATATTAAAGGGGACCGAGTAAAAGAAAGAGGACGCCCAAAGAAATCCAGAAAAAGAGGGACTGGATAGGCATTATGATGACACGAAATTCCTATCTTTTAATAGGCACTCTGAACGTGAATGGGCTTCATGACCCCATCAAGAGACTCAGGGTTTCAGACTGGATAAAAAAGGAAGACCCATCTATCTGCTGTCTCCAAGAGACTCATTTCAGACCTAAGGACCCCTAAGCATGAAAATGAAAGGTTGGAGAACCATTTACCATTCCAGTGGTCCTCAGAAGAAAGCAGGGGTGGCAATCCTCCTATCAGATAAGTGAAATTTTATCCCAAAGACTGTAGTAGGAGATGAAGAGGGACACTGTATCATACTTGAAGGATCTATCCAACAAGAGGACCTAACACTCACGACTATCTATGCCCCTAGCGTGGGAGCTGCCAGGTATATGAATCAATTAATAGCCAAAGTAAAGACACACTTAGGTAATCATACACTTATACTGGGAGACTTCAACACGGCACTTTCTGCAAATGACAGATCTTCTAAGCACAACATCTCCAAAGAAACAAGAGCTTTAAATGATACACCGGACCAGATGGATTTCACAGATATTTATAGAACTGTACATCCAAACGCAACTGAATACACATTCTTCTCAAGTGCACATGGAACTTTCTCCAGAATAGACTAGTTGAAGTCAACCCCTAGTTGTGTGGATGGTGAGGTTGAGAGTACTTGGAAGAAGGTGGAGGCAGATGTTGATATGCTTCTGTCGCTTTAGAAGCATCTGTCGCTTTATCACCTCCGCTCCTTGCTGAGCCCTTGATTCAGAAACAGCTTGTGATTCAGAGGACTTTGGTCAGTGTTTCCCTGAGGGCCACCCCAAAGGCCCCGTGCAGGCAGGACCAACTCATTTAAGTTGCTGGTGAAGGGCTAGAACTTAATGACACTGGAGTGGAGTTTGGTACTGGAAGCTTGGCTCTCTCAGGCCGCGTGAGGCCTTCAAACATGAGACTATACCGGGGCGGTCATAAAGAACGCCATGAGACAACGTCCGAGAAAGTTCGCCGCCAACTAATCTGCATCCTCTGACAAAGTCCAGAAAAGAGAAACTGAAACTTGAAATCCTTGTGAACATTACCATTGGGAGCAAAAAGCAGGCATTGCCGACCATGAAGCGTCTCCCCCAAGAGGCTGAAGGAGACATTTGTTCTTCTGTCTATTCGCCGTTTTTAATTCTGCAACAGCCTGTGTTTATCACGGAGAACTAAACCCTCCTTTCAATCCGTGTGGATCAGGTGAGGCCATGCCTGAAACAGGATGGAAACATACCAAGGCCTGGCCAGTCACACACAAAGCCACCCTCACTACGCTTGAGAACTGGGATAGTGCTGCTGGGTTTGTCCAATCAAAATGAATTCCAGGAGTCCAATGGAAGGGAGTGACTAGACCAGAGGAGCTCTCCTTTTTGCCAGATTGGGCGGACGTACTCTTGGAGCTGCTGGGACCCATCTTGCCATCTCATGCCGGCTGACGAGGATGCTAATGGGGGAAGGCCAGTGGAGTCAGGAGCACTGGATGTTCGGTTAGGGGGACCGGAGGTTGCACGGTCTTCAGAGAGCTGCTTCTCCCTCTCCTCCTGCCCCTACCCAACCCGCCTTGTGCTCTCACTCTCACACTCTACTAAATAAATAAAATCTTGGGGATCTCTTGGTGGCTCGGCAGTCTAGCGCCTGCCTTTGGCCCAGGGCGGGATCCTGGAGTCCCGGGATCGAGTCCCGCGTAGTGTTCCCAGGATGGAGCCTGCTTCTCCCTCCTCCTGTGTCTCTGCCTCTCGCTCTCGCTCTCACTGTCTACCATAAATAAATAAATAAATAAATAAATAAATAAATAAATAAATAAATAAATAAATAAATAAATAAATAAATAGATGGATAAATAAATCTTAAAAAAATAAATAAACAAAATCTTCCAAAAAAAAAAAAAGGCATACAATCCAACCTCTTTGAGAATTTCTGGAGTCCTGGAGGGTGACATATTTCTTGTTTACAAATTTTACTTAAGCCCATTTTTTTGTTACTTGTGAATGAGACCACGTTGAGTGGGGCTCCCCTCAACAAAAGGCTCTAGAATCTGTTTAAGTGAAAATCATCTTTTGGTGCCCTGAGTGGAAAGCCTTTAGCAACCTCCTCTCCCACTTCCCAGAGTCCATGGACCACCCATTGTATCCGTACGTTGTCTGTGGGCTCCAAATGCAAGAAATATCCGTCCTTGGTCCTGTGCTATGTACCATTAAAGCAGCGATTGTTGGCCACGTGCTGGGCTCTTCTGGAAATGGAGTATCTCACAGCCTCTGAGCCTTGAGATGCAGACATCTGCTATTCTTGCCGTCTTGCTACCTCCACACGCTTAAGAGAGTTACCAAGGTCTTCTTGCCACAGGATGAACCCAAAGTCTGCATATCCCACCTGCAAGCCAGAGTGGCTTCTTCAGTGAACCGTCTGTTGCCAGGTTGCAGGTGCTGAAGGATGTCAGCCCTTCCTTAAACCCATTGGCTGCCCAGGATTCCCTTGGGATCAGCTGAGTGAGCATCCGTGGGACCTCATATATTTTGTTTATGACTACCTCCTGGTCAAGGGCCAACTTCACCTCACCTCCTAAGGAAGCACCTGTCCTACTCCTTAAAAGTCTCAGTCCCAGGTTAGAAGAGATGCCCAGACGTCAGATTCCATTGGGATATAAAGACGGGGATGAAGATTCAATATTAAGTGTTGCCTTGGTTTCGGGTAAAATCCGAGGGTCTGATTCCAAGTTCCCTTCCCCGTCTGCTCCCACAGATAAGGTCCCCTGGCCAAACAGCACTCCTTATCGCAGGGACCAGGTACAGTTTATCCATAAATAGTAAGCTCCGGTCCCCTGGCAGCCTGAGGAATGATCCAGCAAGCCAGTCATAGCTTCCTGCAGGATCTAGGGCTCACCTTCACTCTCGTCTGCCCCCCACAGCCCTTGTTCATTCTGTTCCCAGATGCAACCGTCCCGTGGCCCTGCATGGGGTGTGTGTCACTCTCCCCTGGGTCGTGAGTATGTGTGGTTAATAAATTACTGTCGAGAGCTCATGTGTTCACCATCCGGGAATCCTGTGAACCTTAGGGTGGAAATAGCTGTCTTCACCAATGGGTGAAGAGGAGGAAAAGGAAATCCTTCTGGTCTGCAGCTTTTTCAAGGCATTCCCCTTGATGATGAGGCTCCTGGACTTGAAGTGTTTTGGGTTAATAATCTGTTGGGAGCTTGCACGAGTTCACAGGTGGCTGGAGGGATAGCCTTTATGTGAATAATGGGCTGCTGGGAAGGTCCCAAAGGCGCGGGCTTGGATGGTCTGTTACAGTTTAAACTCCCCCTAAAATAAGCCCAGCAGGGAAGTAACATCCGATTTTCACCTTAGTTCACCCTGCCAGCAAGGTGGGGAACAGATTCAAGGGAGGCCAAGAGTGGAACCAGCAAGTTCACTGGGGGGTCGCTTGCATGAGTCCAAGTAAGAGGTAGCAGTAGGTGAACTAGGGCAGTGGGAACAGGAAGGAAGGGAAACAAGGAAGATACTTGGAGGGCTGAAGAAAAAGTAGAATGGAAAATTAGTGGAATGAGATCTTTAAAGAAGTCTGAATGGATCGTTTCCAGGGTACAATGGAACAATTAGCCCTGAGCGGCAAATGAAGATTTGGAATGGCTTCTGGGGAAATGAACAAGGGAGATGACCATGAACATCTGCGTGAACACCCACCTAAATGCTGATCAAGGGGAGCTACTTCAAAAATTCAGGGTACATTCATAAACTGCTGAGTTTCTTTTTAAAGACTAAGTAGGAATGGGTTCACATTTGGAAAGGTCTCTAAAGCAGATTAAAGTTACAAAACAGCAAGTCAGAGAATGGCATACTCCCACATAGACATATATCTCTAATAGGCCCGAGAGAAGTCAGGTTACTCAGAGACGGATTTCCCAGGCAACAGAAAAAGCCCTGGGGAAAAATAATTAGAAGTGAAGGGAAAAAGAAATGGGACCTAGCTGGGAAATGGGAACTTGAATTTTTTTTTTTAAATTTATTCATCTTGTACTTTTGAGCATGCCATGCACCTCCTCTCTCATACAAGGAGTACGCGCTCGTGTGTTTGACAATTTGGGAACATTAAAACCAGTTGAGAGGCCCCTGGGTGGCTCAGTGGTTGAGCACCTGCCTTTGGCTCAGGTCCTGATCCCAAGGTCCTGGGATGGAGTCCCGCATCAGGCTCCCCCGCAGGGAGCCTGCTTCTCCCTCTGCGGGTGTCTCTGCCTCTCTCATGAATCAAAAAATAAGACCTTAAAAAAAATAAAAACAAGTCGATGTTTTCATTCCCCGAGGTATCCGTAGGTACGTGCTCCTTGTTAAAAGAGAGAGAGAGAGAGAGAGAGAGAGAGAGAGAGAGAGAGAAAACATTACCAACACTATTGGAAGTATCCGTTGACCACAGCCTCCTAACCGAAACCCCCACCCATGTCCTCTCTCATGAGAAGTAAGCCCTCTTTGAAGTTGGCAAATACATATGTCTGCATTCAGTAAAAGACACTTTAAAAGAAGTAATATAAGAATATGTTTATTAAGCTGAAAGCAAAAACTGCAACTGTATGGTACGTTTTGCAAAAGGCTCTCTTGGGATAAGGTACACACACAGTGACGTGTGTTCTTCGACGCGCTGTCTGGTCTCGGGCCTGAGACTCCTCTATTGGTTTGAGAGGCCTCTGGCCGCAATCCCAACCTTGCTGGCAGGTGAGAGTATCAAGGGTGTGTATGTGGGTAAAGCATTAGTGACAGCATTCAGGAGAAGATGCTGTGATCCATCAGTTTCCGGTCCACGTGGGTCAGTAAGAGAGACAGCTGTGGCGCGGGGCTTCGCAGCTTTCTTTGGGGGTGTGGATCCCAGGGTGATTGTCTGCCGTGGTGGGCCTTTTTTCTTAGTGCCTTTTCCTTTTCCTACCGAATCTGGAGGCTTCTTGTCAGGAGCAGAGGGACTGCGTGGCGGAAGAGCTAAATCGGATTCCCCTTCTAGAAAGTTGACAAAAAGCCCCGCAAAGGAGCTCTTGGGCGTCGGTTGGGGATCTGGCCTCACGGGGGGCTTGGGGGTACTTTTGGATCCAAGCCCCCCGGTCATGCATCTGATAACCCCACCTTGCTCTTCACTGCAAAGCTGCCGCACGTCTTCCTCCTTGATCCCTAGGGTGCCGCTCATCAACTGCAGTGCTTCGCGGCGATCCCTCTGAGGTGCCCGAAAACATCCCAGTAAGAGTCTCCTTACTAGGGTTTTGTCCACCATTCCTTCAGAGCTACTTACGAGGTTCATCAGTTTCTTCTGCGTATCATCCAGTACTTCCTGCTGGACCTCGTTTCGTTTTCGGAGTTCCTCCAGTTCGTCTTCCTTCAGGTCCAAGACGGTGTTTGTTTTAGTTAGTCGTGCCTGTAAGGACTTCAGTTTTCCTTCTAGAGTATCTGTCTTGTCCATCCACTCGGCCACCTCCGACTTGAGACTGGCTAGTGTTTGAGCATACTGCTTTCCTTGTTCCTGCGAGGCAGAAAGCTGCGCCGCGGTTTCCTCTTTCTGTCGGGTGATAACGTGCAGCTGCTCCCGCAGGGACTCCACCTGCATTCTGGCCTGGTGGGTTGCACTTGCCGTGGCATTGCAGGACACCACCAGCTTTTCCTCCAACGCCGCGACTTCTTTCCGTAGCTTAGCCACTTTGTCTTCTGCCAGCAGAGACTCACGCTGACGAGTGTCCTCCGATTCTACAGCGCGGCGACGCGTTCTCTCCAGCTCCTGGTTTAGGTGTAATTCCTTGTCACGCAGCTGCTGAAGCTCATCCTGGAGGGCACCGTTTTCCATCTGTTTGCGTTTCAGCGCCAACAGGACTCCGTCCCTCTCCTGCTGAAACACGACCGCCTTTTCCTGTGCCGACGTAACTGCATCTATAAGCTGATTCGGTTCCCCGGCCTCGCCCTCTTCTCGCTCTTTCAGTAGTTGCTCCAAAGCAAGTGCCTTCTCTTTGATCGCAGCGTGGCGGGATTCCTCCTCTTGCCACATCCTCGAAAGCCTCATATTGGTCTCTTGCAATGCCTGCCTTTCTGCTTCCTTTTCCCTAGATGACTCCGCTGTTTTTTCCTTTTCCTCTTTCAGTTGACACACGTCCATCTCAAGATCGGCTATCCTCTCCTTCAGGTTTCTCACCGCCTGCCTCAAAAGCTCATTTTCACTCACTTGGCCAGTGAAGTCCTCCATTAAGGAATGCAACTCCTCGCTTTTCGCCTGGATCAGGAGCTCTTTAGCCTGGATTAAGTTCTGTAGAACCTCCTCCTTCTCCCTTAGCTGCTGGATTTCGGAATCAGCGCGTTCGTGTGCTTTGCGTTCGAGTTCTGACGTGGCAGCAGCGCAATCCATCAATCTCTGGTTATCTTCCTGCAGGGTTCGAATCGTGGTCTCTCGGTCTTGCACTGACTTTCTCAGCTCTTCCACCTCCTCTTGGAGCCACGGAGGAGACTCCGTCGCTGAGTCCGATTTAAAGGCCTTCAGAGGTTCCTCCGACTCTGAGGACTCGGTGGAGGGCTGGAGGCAACTCACGTCAGGCTTCCCCAGGAGGTGATCCTGGGCGTTGCAAAGCTCCCCGATGCTGAGCTGAATTTGTGCCAGTTCCTTCTCCAGATTCCTTAGCTTGTTCTCATTCCCTCTGTAATCTCTGATCACGTCCGTATAGGTCGTCTCTAGCTCAGAGTCCCCGTTGATGTTGGTTAAAGCCCGCACCTGCTGTTGTCGAAGAAGCTCCTGAAGCCGGGGTGACTCACGCTTCATATTTTGTACTGTGGCCGTCACCTGCTGCCTCCACTCTTCCATTATCTTCACTCGCTGCCTGAATGTGTCTCGTTCCTCGAGAAGCTCCTTGAACCGATCCATGGGAACACCTCGAACCTCATTAGCAGTGCTGGATGTTTGCAGAATTGTCAATAAAGTCTGACACTTCTGTTTTAAGGCGTCGACTTCGAGGTCTCTCTCTCGAATAATGTGGGATAAATGCTGAATCGTTTCTCTAAACACATCCTGATCGCGATTTTCAGTTCGAGTGGCCAGCTTTTTATTTTCCTCTTGCATTTTCCTGAGGTCTGTTTCTCTAGACGCAATTATATCTATCACTTTGTGATACTCTCTCTTCAGATTGCTATTCTCTCTCGTTTTGTCCTCTAAGACAGCCAGTACTCGTTGGCTTTGCAAAGCAGACTCTTGCAACTGCTGCTGAAGCTGTTCTACGTGCTGGCCGTGAGAAGCCGCAGATATTCTGCTCCGAAGACCCTGAATCTCTGCATCTTTTTGCTCGATAATCTGAGTTAGTTTCCCGATCTCATCTTGGGACGGCGGATCAATCTGTTCAGTCAGCCGGATGTTCTTTTCAGCTAGAAGCTTCACTTCCAGTTCTTGGTCTTTTACTCCTTGTGCTAATCTTTCCGTTTCGGCTTTGAAGAAATCGTGCTTTTCACTTTGGTTTTCTATACTAAGATGCTGCCTTGTTGTGACTTGGACAACGTCAGAAGGTTGTGTTGCAGCGTGCTGGCCTGGGTCGGCCAACTGGGCTTTAATGCGTTCTACTGTGTCTTGCAAATTCTGAATCTCCTCGTCTTTGGTGGAAAGGAGCCGGGCATGCTCACTGGTCATCTGCTCCTGCTGGCCTTTAAGATCGTCCACTTCCCGTGTCTGCTCTTCTAAGGAATGAAGCAGCCGTATCTTACCCTGCTGTTGATCGTTAATGATCTTCTGTTGTTGTTTTATTTCGTCTTCGAGGTCAACTCTTAATTCATTCAGCTGCAACACCTCACACTCTAGTTCCACGATATCATCTAGGAGTTTAGGTAAAGCCTGACTCTGACGTTTTAGTCGCTCTAGTTCTTCTTTCAGGTGAGTATTTTCTTTGATCATGCATGTGAGGGATGTGTCTTTTTCCTCCACGGTTTGCTGTAAAATTTCATTTCTTTTTAAGGCTTGGGTATACTTTTCCAGGTCCTCTGGAAGCTCTGGACTTCCCTTAAGACTGTCAATACAAATATCTTTCTCCTTCACTACTTGTGTCAATTGCTTCTGTACCTCCAAAACATAGGCCAGAATTTCCTGGGTTTCTTGATGGTCGGCATCCATTTGCTCGAGACTCTTGTTGAGGTGTAATATTTCGACGTCCTTCTCTTGACTCACTTGAATGAAGTGGGCATGCTCCAGAGGTGAGGCCGAATGATCCGGGTTATGTGTGCTTGACAACTCTTTGATGGTCTGATCGTACTTGTTTGTTGCTTCCAAAAGCTTCTTTTCAGCCTGACACAATGTGGCTATTAAGTGTCCTTTATCTATTTTTAAAGCCCTCAGAGCGGTGTTTTTTCCCAGAGAATCCTCATTGCTACGGAGAATAGATTGCTGATGTCTTGTATCTTTGAGCGCCAAAACCAACTTCTGGTTCTCCTCTCTGAGATCCGTGCTGTGTTTGTTTAAATTGTCATTCAGCCGCTCCATTTCGGAAACCTTTTGTTCCAGCCTTCTAAGCTCAGTTTCCCTTTCTTTATCTAAGTCATCTTCCGAATGACTGGGAGACTCTTGCTTGAGAGACTCCATTAGCTCCTCTGTGGCACTACAGAGGGCCTTCTCGTTTTGTTTGCTATGTTCCTGAGGTTCAAAGCTCCCCTGGATGTTGAAGTGACATATTTCTGACTGATCTGGCCGATGCAAATCATTAGCAGCCAATCCACTGTGAATTGACCTTTGTTTCTGCACATCTAACTCTGTAGTCGCGTTCGTCTCATCCTCAAGTTGACAAGCTCTCTTTTCTTCCTCATTGACCTCTTGTCTTAGTTTAATGGTGATGCCACTGCCTTCATTTTCTTGTTGCGGTAGCTGGCCTTCCATCGAAGCCCTGGGCAGTGTGGTCCCATTCTGTCTATACGGTTCCCCTGACGCTGCTACCAGGGATTCCTCCTCAGTTGTCCTCTGATTGAAGTTTTGTTCGTTGGCCTCCGGGTCACATCTTGACGGGTTTACTTCTGAATGCGAGGTGCTGTCTCCTGGAGCTGTGCGTTCAGTGGCTTCTTGCTCCTTGTTCACTTTAGAAAGCGGCGGTTGAAGTTCTTCCTTTCCTTGGCTTAACGATGAATTCTCTTGCCCCACAATGTGGACTCGCTCTGGAAGTTTCAGATTGTCTTCCGCGAGATCATTGTCCTGGTTTGCGCTACACAGTCTCATTGTTTCCTTTTCAGCATCGGACAGTGCTTCCTGCAGTCCGAACACTTCTTCCACTGGTGTACTTTTTGAAAGAGCGCTCTCCTGCGTGACTCCTGCATCACTTCTCTTCGAAACAGAAGGCTGCAGTTCACACTCCTCGATCTTGTCTTTCTTTTCTTCGTGTGTCTGGTCCTGTCCTCTCCTCAAAACATCTCTTTCACTTTCTGCAGAAGATAGTTGGTCACTTAGGGATTGTATTCTTTCTTCAAGTTCTTCCATTTTCCTGGTAGACACTGCTTTCTCAGTTTGTAGAACTTGAATGGTTTTCTGCAGATCCTCAATTGGAGGGTCACCGGCTACTCTGATTCCACAGGTGTCCTTCCGTAACAGACTTTGCAGTTCTTCAACCTTTTTCTCATGGCCGTTTAATTTTTCGCGGCACCTGCGAATTACGTCTGCGAGCTTCTGCTGGTGGACATTCTGCAGTGCTGCCATTTCAAGTTGGTGATCCTCAATTTCCTTGCTTCGCTTCTGCTCCAGTTCCTTGATGGTATTCTGCAGTTTGCAGATTTTGTGTGGCTCTAGGCTATTTGTTCCCTGCAAGGAAGCCTGGGAAAGACGTTTCCAATGACTGACTTCGGCCTCAAGTCTTAAGACTTCATCTGACAGTCTGTTTATTTCTTGCTGTGACCAAATCACGTCAGCAACGTCCGTGGCATCACCGTGGAAAGGTGAAGCGTGATGACCGAAATCGTAACTGGAGGAAGGAGATTCCATGGCTGACAGTTGGCCACCAGCTCCAGAATTTACCCACGGAGCGGCCGACTGAAGCTTCAGCAATTGCTCCTCAGTCACTTGTTGTTTTTCTCTAAGCAGTGCTATTTCTACCTGCTTCTGTTGGAGCTGATGTCGGTAGCTAGCACTTTGCTGCTTTAGTTGAAGCTCTGAAGCTTCATACTTCTCTTCTAGATCACTACACAGAGTTTTAAGTCTCTCATTCTCTGATGTTAAGGTCACCCGACTCACCTCATCCTCCTTTCTCCCAGAGTCAGGTACCTCATCCACCTTTTCCCTTCCCTTCATCAGCACATCTCTGGTGACATTGAAGATGTGGCCAGCGAGGGAAGTCGTACTGCCATCCGCTTGCCCTAGGAGACGGCCTAGGTCAGAGCCCAGGCCACGGGTCCAGGAAAGCATTTGTGCGGGTCGAAGAACTGGTCTGGTCCACTTCACAAAAAGCGTCCAGCCCAGTCGGACTACCCCGCCAAGTGTCCCAGAACTGCTCCCGGTGCAAGGCTAAGAACCCAAAGACAATGATGCGTTTCTAGGCAACGCCCGCCTCGAGTTCCGCTACAGCGGGCCAGGCAGGCCAGGCCGAGGCAAGGCCTCGGGCCTTCTGAAGGCCGTCTGCGGCCCCCGGCCCTGGTCACGGTCCCCGCCGCGCATCCCCCCGACTGCCCACGCCAGGGCTGGGCCCCTTCCCCTGCTGCCCGCTGCGCTGGCTGTCCCGGGTGGGCCCCAGAGCGTGTGCCCACGTGCACCTGGCCCTCTCCTTCTCCCCGCCTAGTGGTATCCCACTGCACACAGTCCGCGGACTCTGGTTTCCACGCAACATTAGTTTATTAATTGACGTGAAAGGCACACAGTGACACGCGTCCATGCCCCGAGGAGAGCAGATCCCGAGCGCAGAGAGGCGGCCCTCCCGGAGACCTTGGGCATTTCCAGCCTCCAGAGGCTCCCAGGTGTCCCGTCCCGGCCAGCCCTGCAGAGACAGCGTGTCTGTCCCACGCCGGCTTTTGGGGGTTCACCGGCCGCTATGTGCGCCTCTGCCTGTGCCCCACCTGCGGGTGTGCGGCCATAGCCCAGGCAGGAGGTCGTGGGCGGCAGCAGCGCTGGCTAGATTTGTAGAAGAGGTGGTAGACAAGCAAAAAATAATTACATACCCTGAGTGCTTAGAGAGGGATGGCTAATAGAGTGAGCGACACTCCACTCTTTCTTAGTGGTTGGTGGAGAGAGGTAAGAAAACCAAACCTCCTGCAGGCAGTGACCGTGTTGCTGTTGCCCTGTAGAATGAGATGCCTCAACTGATTGGTCGTAGTTTATATTACTTATCAAGCATGCACTTAGATGTTTGCAGGTAACTAGAATTTCAAAGCGGTTTATTAAAATTTCTCTCCATGCCCCATTCTTTTTAAGTGATATATCGAAGTGATTATTTAAGTAAAAAACCCACAGAACTATGATCTCTCATGTGAATTGGTCGACCAGAGCCATCACTACTGTGATCTTGGGGCAATCCAAAGACACAGGTGTTTGAAGTTAGCGTTGGCTTTCGGGCCATATGTTTGTTTGCCATCGCGGGGCAGAGATGGATTGAGTGAGGAAGGGCGAGCCGCTGCTCTCAGGGGCTCAGAATGGCTGCAAGGATTGAAAGGAGCGATCTGGTGAAGTCTTGAAAAACTAGTGTCCCCTGCCTTCCAAAGAACAAAATTGGGAAAGTCCCACGTCGGGCTCCCTGCATGGAGCCTGCTTCTCCCTCTGCCTCTCTCTTCTTCTGTGTCTCTCATGAATAAATAAATAAAATCTTTAAAAACAGAAAAAGAAATCCCCCTTCAAAGTAAAAAGAGTTTAGAAGTGAAGGATTGAAACTTTGTGGGAAACTGCACCTACTTTTTACCCAGATCAACGTTAGCAAACTACAGCCTGCACGCCAGCTCCAGCCCCAGTCGGCTGACACGGGTTTTTGCGCTTTTAAATGGTTGAAAAAAATTTTTAAACGAAGGATATTTTGTGACATATGAAAACTATGTGAATTCGTGGAGCACCTGGGCGGCGGCTCAGTCCCTATAGCGTCCATCTGACTCTTGATCTCAGCTCAGGTCTTGATCTCAGGGTCCTGAGCTCAAGCCCCCTGTTGGGCCCCATGCTGGACATGAAGCCCACTTAAAAAAAAAAGTTGGGGATCCCTGGGTGGCGCAGCGGTTTGGCGCCTGCCTTTGGCCCAGGGCGCGATCCTGGAGACCCAGGATCGAGTCCCACGTCAGGCTCCCAGTGCATGGAGCCTGTTTCTCCCTCTGCCTGTGTCTCTGCCTCTCTCTCTCTCTCTCTCTCTCTCTCTCTATCTCTATCTCTATCTCTATCTCTATCTCTCTATCTCTCTGTGTGACTATCATAAGTAAATAAAAATTTTTTAAAAAATGTTATGTGAATTCACCTGTCAGTGTCCGTACGTTAGGTTTATTGGAACATAGCTAGGTCCATTCATTTATATGTTATGTCAGAGTGATTCCAAAAAGCGTCCTCATGAGGTTTGCACCACACCCTGTGAGAGTTGCTAGTGTAGACCCGAAGTTGGCACATTGGTTGGTAAATAGCCAGATAATCTGTAAACCTTTTGAGCTCCACAAGCTGTATGGTCTCTGTTGGAGCAACTTAGCTCTGCTGTTTTGGCATGAGAGCAACCTATTGGTGATACATAAACCAACCTGCCTGGCTGTGCTCCAATAAAACTTTATTTGTGTGCATGGAACCAGAATTTCACATAATTCTTGTGTATCATATTATATAGTCCTCTTTTGAATCTTTTCCCGAAACCATTTTAAAATGAAAACTAGGGGTACCTTGGTGGCTCAGTGGTTGAGCATTGGCCTTTGGCTGAGGGTATGATCTTTGGGTCCTGAGATATAGTCCCTTATGGGACTCCCCTTCAGGGAGCCTGCTTCTCCCTCTGCCTATGTCTCGGCCTCTCTTTCTCTGTCTCTCTTGAATGAAGAAATAAAAATCTAAAAAACAAATAAAGTAAAATCTATTATTACTTTGCTGGCCATACCAAAGAAGAAGGCTAGACCAATCACACTTCCTGATTTCAAACTACTTGACCCTTGAAGAAACAGCATGGGTTTGAATAGCATGGGTCCCTTACAGACAGATTTTTTTTTTTTTTTACTCCAGTATGGTAAAGGTATTTTCTCTTCCTTCTAATTTGCTTAATATCATTTTCCTTTCTCTAACTTACCATAAGAATACAGTAAATAATGCACATAACACATAAAAATGTTAATCGACTGTTTGTGTTGTCAGTGAGGCTTCTGGTCAGCCATAGCACTATTAATAGTTAAGTTTCCAGGAAGGTAAAATTTATATGCTGATTTTTGACTGCACCAGGGTTGACACATCTACTCCTGTGTTGTTCAAGGGCCCATGGTATGTCACAGAGCTGTCGTGATCAAAATAGTACAGTATTGGCATACAAAAGTATGTAAATCAGTGGGACAAACCAGAGAGCCCTGAAATAAATCCATATATAAATAGCCGTCTAATCTTTGATGAAGGCACCAAGAATACATAATGGGGAAAGGATAGTCCCCTTAATGTATAGTGTTCAGAAAAGAATGCAAACTGGACCTTTACCTTTTCCACTCTAAAGAAAACTTTTTTTTAAAGAGTTTATTTATTTATTCATGGGAGACACACAGAATGAGGCAGAGACATAGGGAGAGGGAGAAGCAGGCTCCCTGCGGGGGAGCCCAATGCAGGACTTGATCCCGGGACCCCAGGGTCACGACCCAAGCCAAAGGCAGATGCTCAACCACTGAGCCACCCAGGGGCCCACCACTCTAAAAAAACTAGCCTAAAATGAATTGAAGACTGAAATGTAATACTTGGAGCCACAAATCTCTTAGAAGAAAATGTAGGGGGAAAGTTCCTTGATACCAGTCTTGGCAATGATTTCTTTTGTATATGACCCCAAAGGCACTGTCAACAAAAGCAAAAATAAACAGGTAGGAGGACGACATCAAACTAAAATGCTTCTGCAACAGCAAGGAAGGAATCCGAATGAAAAAAGCAACCTACAGAATGGGAGAAGATATTCGCAAACTATAAATATAGGGTTAATATTCAAAATATGTAATGAATTCATACAACTCATTGGTAAGAAACAATTAACCTGGTTTAAAAATGGGCAAAAGACCTAGTTAGACATTTTCTCAAAGAAGATATACACGTGGCCAACTGGTATATGAATACGTGTTCAGTATCAGTAATAATCAGGCAAACACAAATGAAAACTGTAATGAAATACCACCTCACACCTGTTAGGATAGCTACTGTAAAAGACACAAGAGATAACAGATGTTGGTGATAATAGAAATTGGAACCCATGTACACTTTAGTGAAAACATAGTCGTCATGGAAAACAGTATAGAGGTTCTTCAGAAAACTAAAAACAGAGCTACCGTATGATCCAGCAAGCCCACTTGCTGAGTATATATCTAAAGAAAATGAAATCAGTATTTCAAAGATACCTGCATTCCTATATTCATTGTAGAATTATTCACAATAACTAAGATATGGAAACAACCTAAGTATTGGTTGATGGATGAATGGATAAAGATGTGGAGAGTGTCTGTACACACAAACAGAAAATGGAATATTATTCAACCGTGAGAAAGAAGGAAATCCTGCCATTTGCAAGAACATGGATGAACCCTATGGATAATACTTTTAGTGAAATAAGCCAGACAAAGACAAATACTGTATGATCTCATATTTGGGATCTTAAAAAAAAAAGGAGTCAAATGTACAGAAACAGAGAAAAATGATGGCCACCTGGGTCTAAAGGGTGAAAAGCTATAGTCAAAGGGTATAAGCCTTCAGTTATAAAAGGAATAAGCTCTGGGGATTATAATAATCCTGTATTATACACTTGAAATTTGCTAAGACAGTAGATTTTAAGCATTCTTACAACTACTGTTACAAAAAAGGGAACTGTGAAAGGTGATGAGTGTGTTCATTAACCTGATTAATCATTTTACAATATATGTGAACTGAATTAGCACATTATACACTTTAAATATATACAGTGTTATTTGTCGATTAAAGCTCAGTAAAGCTGGGGGAGAAGTAATCTTTCCTGCTAATAGGTAATTTTTAATAATTGCAGTAGATTTTAAAAATCTGGTTAAAAAGATAGATTGTGGGGGAGCCAGGCTGGCTCAGGAGGCTAGGCATCCAACTCTTGATTTGGGCTCAGATCATGATCTCAGGGTCATGACATTAAGCCCTGAACCCAGTGGGGAATCTGCTTGAGATTCTGTCCTTCTCCCTCTGCCTCTTCCCCTGCATGGACAGGTACCTTCTCTCTCAAATAAATAAATAAATAAATAAATAAATAAATAAATAGATAAATAAATAAAGCGAGCCTCGGTGTCCATCGAAAGATGAATGGATAAAGAAGATGTGGTTTATGTATACAATGGAATATTACTCAGCCATTAGAAACGACAAATACCCACCATTTGCTTCAACGTGGATGGAACTGGAGGGTATTATCCTGAGTGAAATAAGTCAATCGGAGAAGGACAAACAGTGTATGTTCTCATTCATTTGGGGAATATAAATAACAGTGAAAGGGAATAGAAGGGAAGGGAGAAGAAATGTATGGG